AATATGATTTTGAGAAATAGCTATTAAATCTCTAACAGAGTTCTGAAAAATGTGACATTTTTGTTAAAGTAGTCTCGACCTGCACCCCTGCTTCTACCCCAGCACCAAGGATTCTGCAAGTCACTGACCTCTGGGCTCAGCAGACCCTTCTAAAAATAGATGAAATGTTAGTCAAGAGTTGTACCTCAAATTACTAATCCAATTGATCATTTTAAGTGGCTATATCATAGAAAGTAAGTCCATAACTGAGGGTGAAAGGAAGACGTTGGAATATAGTTATTCTTTTTGTTAATCCCTGTGTGACATAATTGACCACTTGATCTTGAGTCTTCTGGACTAGATCTGTTTCACTAAATAAATTTTTGAGCATTCGAGGAATTGATTTTGAGAGCTACCAAAGGAGTAGACTGTGAATGAATTTGAATTTCTATTCAGAGTGAATGAAGCCCCAGAACAAAGTATGACATCCACTGTTCTGTATATGGGTGAAAGGTTTGCCCCAATATTGTGGAAACACCATTGAGGATTTGTAAAGGAGCACCTAGCCATGCCTGGTATATACCGTGTGACAGCAGGAGCCACTGCTGGACCAAGATCTTGGACTTACTTTCCATCAGAAACTCCATGAAAGAATTTGAATTGAAGTACTACATAGTGTTTGGCCTTTCTTTCCCTGTGGTGGTGGCACACGTTTGGCTCTGTTGCCAGCTTACATAGTTTCTTACTGAAAAACCTTTGAAGAGTCCGAAAAAGAGGCAGCCATTTTGGTTACCCACTGAGGTTGTTCTGAGTCAGGAGATAAAGCTGGTCCTTGGCACTCTGGATCCACCACCTTGAGCTTAGTCAGGTTGGCTATGGCGGAGTCCCAAGGCCTTGGGAATGCTAGCATTATTGATATCTATTTCCTCTTGGAGGTGGGAGGCTTGTGGGAGACTCCTTTCTCTTTAGGTCTCATGACTGTTTTAAAGCCTTTCTCTTTATACTTGGGCTTCATTCCACACTGGGAATTTGCTTCCCAGGTTCTGAATTCCCTGCATATGAAATAGTCCATGGTGGTCTGATTAGTGGTTGTGAGACGAAAGACAGATTTTTCTCCTACTTTGGTATTTCATATGTCCTTTCTCGTCCCAGTTTTCCTATAACTTCCCCATCTCTCTTTTCAGTTCTGGTATTATTTAGTGTTTCCAGAACATGTTATAGCTGAGTTCCTTGTGATCACATTTAGTAGTTACACAACAAATCGTGCACAGAGCATAACTAGTACTTAGCCAAAGAATAAAATGGAGGAACTTTCCCAAACCCAGCTTTATAATCTTCCTTTAATAAAACTCTACTGTATCATTTATAGTTTGGCATCACTTTTTAAAACGTGAGCCCCTATCAGGCTTTTTTAGAGAAGGGTACTACAAGGTTTATTGCACAAATGATTTGACTTACAAGTGAACAAAGATATGAATATAACCTATTACTTCTTATAGTTACTTAGAAATCTAAGAAAAACGAGGGAAAGGACTTTAAAAATGTTTCTAGAATATAAAGAAGCTCTCTAGTTTAAAATGTTTTCTCATTTCTTGGGACCAGCAGTTGGCATAATGGCTTTGTTGCTGGACTCCCATGTAGTCGACCATGGT